CGAAGCGTCGACCATTTCTGGCCAGCAACTTTCAGCGTCATTAAGCCGCTGCGCCACCGCGTCCCCCCTGCACGTTCCCCTACCACCATCAATAACCAAGTTTAGTCCTTAGCCTGAAATTAGTTCTATAGATAATAATAAAAAAAATCTTCCCATTTTTCACACAGACAAGTCTTTAATATTGGGTTTACTTCTATTCTGCTTCTACGTTTACTTACCCATCGTTTATTGACATAACAGCAGAGCTGAAGGTAATTCTGCTGGTTGATATTCTTTGATGCTGTCAGAGCTGAACTCTAGTTTTGGGCACAAAAGCAACACAAAGACTCACATTCAGTTCACCATTATAGATTGACCAGCCAACTGTCCCTTGCTACTGCATCTTTATGTATAAAGGCCAATTCAGAGGCAGGTCTGGCAATCCTAAATCTGAAGCTTCCAATTTTGTTTTGTTCTACTGATAAACAGGGTTCTCTTTCTGTTTCTCCCTCCTTGCAGGAAGCTAGTTAACAGCAGCTTCAAAGGGGAGAATATTCTTTGGTGGGAGACTTGGAACCAGCAAAACACCTTCTCTTAAAAACTGCTTCTCTTACTTTCACAGAAGTCCCTGTACGTCTGTGTAGGAGCAAATAAAACCAAAGGTGATTTTAATTACAGACCTGCCATGCCACCTCTGGTTGGATGCTAAATGTTTAATCCGTTTTACAATGACTCGGTAGAATAGTGTCTAAGCCTGTTAAATAATGTGAATGTTTATTCCAATAGAAATTAAAGAATAACTTCAAAACTATACTGGGGGAAAAGGCTGCAATCTATCAAAATTTAGTGCTTTAGGCACAACATTCATTTCTGTGACAAGTGAGCTGCAGCTGAGATATTCAGATGTGAAAGCTGTTTCATGTTTCCCTCTGTAATGATTTTCACTCTGCCAGGGTAGACATATGATAAAGAAGGATGTGAACTGTGGAGATAATTAGAGTATATTTCTTTAAACATTTATTTCAATATGGCTGAACAAACACTAATGAATCAATAACAGTTCCCAGTTCACTTTAGACATGAAACTTGGTTTTGATCAGCTTTATTCCACACCAGTCTTACTCACCAGGATGCCCTCCAGAGATTTTGGACTACTCATCATTTTATTTACTTACTTACTTATTTACCCATTCCTTCATTCATTTAACTTGCATACCATCAGATCCAATAGGACTCCTCAGGATTGACATGAAATGTTGTACAGTTGAGATATCCACAGTAAGAAGTTAATTAATCATGCATAAAACATCCATAGTAAAGATAAAACACATTTCAGAAAAGAAAGAAGGAAAGAAAGAAATGAAAGTCAAACTCTAATAAAAAAATTTCAACAATACCTTCAGCCTAGATGACAGCCAATCAATTAACAAAGGCTCTTTGGAAGAGCTCAGTTTTGAGCATCTTCTGAAGTGAAATCAAGATGGAATCCAGACTGATTTCAATCAGGAAGCTGTTCCAAAAGGCAGGAACTACCATTGAGATGCAGGACAGCTCCTCCTCCCCATTTCATGGAAGCACGGTGCAACCAGCAACTTTTCTCAGGGCAGTTTTGTTGGCTGGGTTGGTTATGATTGGAGAATGCAGACCTGTGAGTATCAAAGTGCCAAGCCCTATATGGGTTTAAACTAGTGCTTTGAATTGCACCCAGGAGCCTCCTGGGAGCCAGTGCTGCCCACAAAGTACTTTTAATGTGCTCTTTGTGCAAAGTGTCACTTAGCAAATGGGTTGCTACAGTTTATATCTACTGCAGTTTCTGGGGGATTCTCAGAGGCAGACCCATATAGAATGAGTTGCAGTAGTCCAGATAAGTGGTGAGGAACATATGAGTTATTGTGCCCTCGAACAGATCTCAGTAATACATCCTGGGCCTACCTGCTTGTCCACCACAAGGACATGTATAAATGTGATCTCACTGCAGAATGACCTGGCAATTACATTAGTAAATTTGGCCACGGGAGATAGTCTAAAACTTCTGGAAAGCACACTGTTAACAAAAACTACACCAGCATAGTTAAAGGCTGATTCATGTGATCAAACTGGCATGTTGAGAATATAAATTGAGCAGGCCTATGCAATACTGGGACCTGACACAGCTAACATGTAATATAACATGTACAATACTCTTGGTTTTTCTCTGTCCCCTGTTTTAGCCCCCCCCCCACCCCACCCAAGCAGGTTGCTAGCAAAAGATTGCTTTTGCAAGATGCCTGAATTATCTGTTGGCAAAAAGCTTTTAAAATTAGGCTGAACATGCATGAAATTAGGTCAACATTTATTATGAGTAACAATGGGAGAATTACAGAAAAATAATAAAAAATGATACTAAAAGAGCCCCAACAAAATCCATTTCTGCTTTATCACATGGAATATTAATTTAGTTAACAGATGTCCAGTAATTAGATTTTTGACAATACCATTTAAACTACATTAAGTTAAACCAATAAAAATAAGGGAATAGAACAATATATTTTCCAGAGATCAAAATTGCCATCAGGCATAATTTCAGTAGGCGTATTATTAACTGAATTGATTACATGCCATTACATTGGTGTCGGCCCTTCATGAACACATAGGTAGACCTTCTCCAGACTGTGGAGTCCTTGGTGCTGTCTGAGCTTGATTGTTGGATTGCAGACGTTTCATTACCTGATTAGGTAACATCATCAGCGCTTTTCACTGATGCACTAATGATGTTACTTAGTTGGGTAATGAAACATCTGCAATCCAACAATCAAGCTCAGAGAGCAACAAGGACTCCACAGTTCAACCCTGAGCTACAGATATTCTCTTCTATTGGCTTCTCAGATTATCTGTCCCCAATCTGGTTCTTCGGGTCTTCCAATGGTGCACCCACTGCTAATATAAATGAGTCCTCTCACCTTGCTGCTGGTTGTCTTATTCTTCTCTTTCATTGAACCTATTGATTGATAAGTCATGCTAATCCAAACTGATTTTTTTTTTGATAGAGTGACCAGTTTAGTTGGCCATGGGAATGCAGCAGACACATATCAAACTGGACCGAGGTGTCAAGTAGCATACCCCATAGTTGTTTTATACACTGCATTGTTCAACATATTAATAAATGACTTCAGTAAAGAGCTAGAAAATATCATTATTAAATTTGCAGATGACACAAAGTAGGGAACATAGCAAATACCTTAGAGGATAGCATCAAGATGCAAGAACATTTTCACAAGTTGGAATAATGGACAGAAAATAACAGGGAGAATTTCAACAGGGAAAAATGCAAAGCCCTTCCTTTGGGTAATAAAAAAATCAAAGGCATGAATATAATGTGGAGGAGATCACACTGGGCAACAGTACATGCAGGAAAGATTAGAGTGCCTAGCTGAATGTGAGCTGACACTACCTGCAGAAAGGAAATTTATCCTAGGCTGCATCAACAGAACTGTAGTGTCAAGATTTATTCTGCACTGGTCAGGCCACACCCAGAATATTGTGTCTAGTTCTATGTACCACATTTTAGGAAGGATATTAATAAACCGAGTTGATAAGTGAAAACTTATGAAGAATGGTTGGGGCATTGGGAATGTACAGCCTGGGGAAGAGAAGATTACAAGGAGACATGGTAAGTGTCTTCAAATATCTAAAGGGCTGCCATGTACAGATCACCTAGACTTGTTCATGTCATTCCAGAATACAAGATAGGAAACAATGAGTTTAAATTACAAGGAAGCAGGTTTTTATTAGACATCAGAAAGAATTTCCTACTGAGCTGTTCAACAGAAATATACTGTTCAACAATGAAACAGACTGCTTTGGGAGGTGGTAGACTCTCCTTTGCTGGAAATATTTAAATAGAGGCTAACCCTCTGTCAGGGAGGCTGCAATTATATATTTCTGCACTGCAGAAACTAGATCTTACATTCTAACATTTTAAGTTTGCAATTTGCTCATCCTGGGAAAAGAAGACCACTCTATCTGAAAGTTATCTGAAACTGTAACTTTACATAAAACAAAAGTTTGGAGATGAGTTTTTTATGATTACATTTGCCAGACTTTTTCAAACCAGCTGTTAGTAGAGATCATGTCAATGCAGGCAATAGCCATTTGTTCAGATGCAAGTAGGTGGGCTGTAAGTGGCTTACTTGTTAAGTTTTTCTTTGCTCCATCATAAATTTGTAACATTGTTAACTGTAGGGGTTTTTTGTTTTGCTGATTTAATAATATTAACTTAAAATCTGAAAGATCTTATTCCAAAAATCATCCACCTTCTCCCCAAATTAGCATGAATTCAGACAGAAAGCTGAAATGGATTTTTTTTTTTTTGGATTTATGATAATTTATTTGATACCTTATCCCATCCATGACCAATTTTTAAAGATTGGAGTTTTTGGTGGCTAGAGAAAAAGAAAGTCCCCCCCCCTTCTTTTTTAAGGAAAGCAAGCAGTATGCCCTGAGGCTGGGGTATCCACAAAGGATCTCAAAAGTCATGAGGATGGCCACAACTATGCAGTCAAAGCTCTGTCCCTTTTTCATGTGCATTGTGACGTCCACTGTGGAATTCCTTGCCATGAGGTATTCAGCAGATCTGTAATTGTCATGAGGTTATCTCCAGCCTATCCCAGCTGTTATCTTCCCAAGCAACACATATGTGCCCTTTTAAATATCACCATCATATTGTAGTAGTGCCATCCAACAAGCAAAAGCATGCTTACTGTTTGCTTTTCATCCTATGTTGTAATGAAAACTCTCCAAGGAGATCCGAACAACTGTACTACATACCTTCTCAGAAAGCATGAAGATTCTTAGATGCAAATTTTCATTGTCCTTCTCCTAAGAAAGAAGAAAAAATGAAATCTATGCCTTAAAAAATTGTATTAGTTCTAAAGGCCGGTAAAGAGAGATAGATTCACACACATAAAACTGAGCCATAATATTTTTTCAGTTTATGTAATGTGTGAACCTAGAGATTATTATTTAATATCATGTACAAACCACAGTGGCTTGTTCATGATCATTTGTTTAATGAACTACAGTTAAGCAAATCTGGCTTAGCCCAAAGAGATGTTTCACTATGATTCATTATGATTCTTTTGTTCATAAAGAAAATTCATTCTTGAAGGTCCCCAAGCCTCCTGCATTGTTCCAACTGAGGGATCCAGAGTTTTACTCCTAGATTTGAAGGTGCTCCTCTGGTACAGAATTAATATCATGCCTAAATTGAGGACTTGGGTAGCAGGGCTACCCAAATGACTGATTTTGCTGCCTGTAGCAAAGGACAGAATCTCCCCCCTGCTCCATAGACAGAAACTGATTGGGATGATGAGGACAGACCTCCCTCATCCAGAGGTCTCAGAGCAGACCAGGATGGGAGTGCTCCAGCTGAGGAAGTCTGAGAAGGAACAGCCCAGGGAACTGCCACTACACTACCAGCAAGTGTCACGTGAGATAACTCTCACTTTGCTCTATAGGACAAGCCCTGCTGGGTGGATAAAAAAAATGAAGCTTCTTCCTTGCAATTCCTTTTTTATCCTGCTTTGCAGCAGTGCAAGTTAGGGCAAATAGCTGTTTATCACTGATTCATAAGATGACAAAGGCTCAGAGGGTTATTCAGAAAGCAGTCAGCATGCATCTCCAGAGTTGTAAGTACTGAGCTCCTGTGCTGCTCCCCCAAGTAAAGATTTGTTGCAATTATTGAGGGAGTCAATAGAAAATATCCTGAACTAGTAAAAGGTAAAGACTCTTGCAAATCAAGCCTGACTCCTGGTGACTCCATGATATGTGCATGTCATTTTCTTGGCAGCAGCCCAGAAATTGTTAGCAAATCCTGCCTTCTGGGATTTTTTTCTATTTCAAAACAGCCTACGCTCCTGGAGGTCCCTGGTTGCCTCCCAGCCATGTACTAGCTAGGCCTTATCCTCCTTCCTTTCCAAACCCAGAGATGCTCGGCCTTGTCTTGTTGCCTCTTGAGACCCTAAAACAGTGAGGCTCATTTTAAGCAGACTTTTCCTAAACCAATTACTTCTTGATTTGTTTGATTAAACTTTCATCCCTCCATGACAACATACTGTAGGCATTCCAGGATTGCTTTAAATACATTCAGATAATACCACCTGTTAGTGCTGATTTAGCTAATAGATTTATGGTTCTTATATTTAGGAGGCCACATAATGTATGCAAAATTAATCAGGGGTGTTTTTTTTAAATGATTGCCTACCATTTTTTTCAGAAATTGCTCCTCTAAAGATGCTGTTTCATTCTCCTCCTCCTGCTTTTTTTTAGCCGCTTCAATGTCTGTTTCTAGGAAAGTTATGGCTTCCTCGGCTTGCTTTATCCTGGACATGATCCATGGAATAATAATAGCAACAACAACAGCAGCAACAATTATAATAACTTGTTTATAGTGAATAAACTAACTAGACAAAGTGCAACATTTCAGCTGTCACTCCTTCCCAGCTAAACTGGGAAGGAAGAGATGTGCTGAATACATTCCAGAGAAGGCTCTAGTAGATGTCTAACTTGACTACTAGAATATTTTCAACAGCTATATTTCCTAGGGTGGGAATTCCAAGCCAAGGCCATCCCATTGAGAAGGCCTCTCCCATGTTCAACTGGCACACCTGCCAAGTGCAAGACATGAGCAGTCCAGGCAGTCACCAGGAGTCCACACGGACTCGAAGGCACAATAAATAAATAAAACATGTTTTCATTAATGTAACAATCCACTCAAAGAACTTTGGATGTTGTGCAAATTAGAAATATTAATAACACTACTGTAACAACATTAAGAATAATGGTCATCAGGTAATGGCCATCAGAGGCAACCAATTCATGCAGTTTTGTGTTTAAAGTGTTTTTTAAATGTTTATTTGGTGAGCCTTTTGGAGAAAATACTTGAGCCATAGGAGTGCAAAGAAAGGTCCAAATCTGAATAGTTTTTCACATTTCAGTTGAACGGCATTTCTCAAAAAAAGAATGTGCCCCTCCTTCAGTGTCATCATGATTAAAACTTACCTTTTGAGTTCCGCTTTTGTGTTCCTCATCACTTCTTGTAGATCCCAAATGTTTGCCTTGATGTTATTCCCTTCATTAAGGAGACATTTAATTTGTTCTCTCAGCCACATATTCATATGCCTGGACTGAAAGATGGAAGATCCTTTGGCTGCTATCCAGGTGTCCCTTTGTTGGGGTACATATATACACAGACATAGCATGACTTAGTTATTGCAGTCATAGCATTTGGGCCCCCTTTATGTATTCACCCCAATGTGTGAGGGCAAAAGTATCTGCAGGGATCCAGAGCTAACCATACTTTTTTTTTCTTCCTTCAGCTTCTCAACATTTGGAGAAATGTGTGAATAGGATTGTTGGAGGCATCATATGGAAAAATGCCCTTGACTATACATGAAATGGTCTTTTAAAGAACAAATATATCAATGAGCTGCGGAGGTAGGCAGAATATTATGCCTAGCTAGAAGGAAAATGCCGTGCGGTTTAATGAATTTCTCCTCCAATATCTTACGAGCTGAGCATTTTTGTTGTTATTTTCCTAGATTGAAGATACTTACCGTGCATTCTTGGTTTCTTTATTGACAGCTACATAGGTTTCCGAAATCTGCTGGCAATAACAACAGTCTTTCAGCATCTCCTTTTTAAAAAAAATATTCAGGAGCAAATATTTTTCAACTGTTTAATAGCTTGATTTGTGCAGTTTTGAGCTATCCCCAAATATAACTGAGCATATGGGAAGGTCCTTGCTGAGAATTTTAAGAGTTATAGTTTCAACTTCCAGCACTCCTAATGGGTACCAGATTTAGGGAGGCTGATAATCCTAGTCTGGTGCTTATTTCAGAATGATTGGCTTTATACTTCTTTAAAGATATAATTGCGTCTGATGCATTCCTACCAAAACATGACCTATAGTCAATTACTTTACCCATCCATTTATCCAACCAATTTATCCATCTGCTCATTTTCAATATTTAAGAGCCCTGCTCTTCATTTGCACCTTGTGGCATCTGGAGGTGGGGTAAAAAAGACATGATAGATGTGGAGATGACACATGTACAGAAGAGGAGGAGCTTGCCCTGCAATGCTACCTCTGGCCTTTTTTGTCCCCCACCTCCCTGTGGATTCTGCTGTTTGCATTTGTCTATAAGCATTATTTTAACAATGCCATTACAGCTTTAAGTCTCACTTCTCATTTCCTGTTGTTTTATTAAAACAGTGACCCACAGAAGCTTTTGAGGAATGTTGAGTTTCCCTGACATTCAAGCATACAGCAATATTGCAGGTGTTGTAATAGTCTGCTTTGGGGGACAAAGGTAGAGATTTTCCTTTTCAGAATCAACAGTCCAGGGAAGAAGCCTTTAGATTTCTACCTATTATAGTAAAGGTTTTGAGGATGTGGTGCAGTTAGTGTTCCCTGAAGATCTTTACTTGTTGCTATTACTTGGATTTATGGCATCCAAGTTTAGCAGTATATTTTTTGCCCATGTCCTAAAGTTCTCCAAGTCTTCCCTCTCCATCATTCAGCAGTCAGAACTGGATTAACAGTTATGGCCAAATAGCACACAACAGGGATGTCTGCAGAGTATGGTGAAGAGTCAAGATGGTGGCCATTAATGTACAACACATATTTAAAAAGCACAGAGCTTCAATCAAAATACCGCAACAGCCATCTTGACTTTTTTTTTTACCCCACCCTCCAGATTCCCTGGCACACATTCCAGCTACTAGAACAGAATGTACAACACTATTTAAGACTAGTATTTATTTTCTAGTGTAAAGCTTAGTAGTTTAGGCTCAGCATCCAGCAAGTCAAGTGTCTAAGGGACTTGTAAAACTGAGATGTTTGGTGAAAGTACTAATAACTTAATGGTTCAGAAGTTATTTTACATGCTGAAGCCATAGGTTCAGCTTTTGGTATCTCAAAGGGATAAAATAGCAGACGGTATGAAAGACCTGTACCCTGATTCTGGAGAATCACAGCCAAAGTAAACAAAATAGGGCTAGGGAAACCTGATAAAGGTAGCATCTCCCTACTTTCACCATTACTTTGGAGCTGCACCATTCAATTGTTGTGCCTCCTCCTGGTCACTTCTTCCACCCCTAATTCAGTTGGTGTCTTCTTCAATCAGGGGGTATCTCTTTTGAACTACATCTGATATAGTCCCCAAGAATCCATTTTTAACTCCAATAAGACTGATTAATTGATCATTTTATATTCAAAACTATTCTTGATTTCAATTCTATCAAACCTCTGAGGACAAGAAGGGAACGGTCAGATGAATATTACTGAATTATAAAATGTCAATAGGGACTATATTTTTATTCACAAAATTACTATGCAACAAATATACACATAATGATCGGCATTACCTTTGCTTCAGTCATGTCATGCTCTGCCAAGAAATATATTAAGAAACATCTAATTTGATTTTCCTTGTAGTTTAGCTGAGTCCATGTATAATTTGTATGTGCTGTGCGGTGTGTGTCTGTGTCTGTGTCTGTGTGCTTATCTGTGTATGCTTGTGTATGTCTGTGCCTGTATCTGTGTGTGTCTGTGTCTGGGTGCCTTTTTCTGTGTAGTCCACTATTAGTGCAGCTTTGAGGTCATAAAGGGCTTGACCACCTCAAGTGAAAACAACTTGCCCGGAAAGCTTGTTGTTACGTTTCCGACCACTAGATGGCAATGCTGCTCTAACGAATAGTATTTAGCTTAATTTTAGCATTTTCTTAATTTTCTATGATGATCATTCTACTTTGGCTTTTATTCCAAGTCAAGAAAAAAATCCATAAAATTAACTTTTTGGCATGCTAATCATCATATTGGGAAGATCTTAGATATTTGCCCTTCAAAATTTCTGGAGAAATAGAGGGAAGTAGGAAGCAAATTGCAATAATTAGGAATATGAAATTTAGTGAAGAAGAAATAAACACTAGGATAACATTATGGCATATTTTTCACCAAAGTGGCATGTATCATTTTTTATTGTAGCTCAATGTATTAAATCATGGTTGGTCTAAGTGAGACAGCCAGTGTGGTAATAGAGAGCCTGTGTGGTACAGAGGTTAAAGTATTGAACTAAAATAGGGAGGATGCAAGTTCAGGTCCATCCTTAGCCACAGAAGCTCACTGATTACGTTTGTTTTCTTTTTCTCTTGGTCATTCTCTCTCTCTCTCTCTGTCCAGCTGACAGAATTGTTGTGAGGGGGGAAAAAAATGTAGGTGGGAGTGCTAGGTACATCATCTTGAGCTCCTGGAGCAAAGGTGGGATATAACTAAAATGAATAAATACAAGTTGAGCCTAGCCAAATTTTGGAGATTTTGGGGGGTGGGGCAAAATCTCTTTTATAGTTTTATAGAGAGCAAGGGCACATGTTGGGGCAAAATCATGGGTTATGAGGCTATTTACTAATAGATGCTCAAGGGTTGGACTTTTCTCCCTTCTAGTGTAGTGATACCTCAAGTGGTGGCAAAGATCTTTTTTTTATACATAGTAATTTTATTAAAAATTACAATTGCAACAATAAAAACTAATCCAGACTAAACATAAAATAAAAGAATGAAAAGAAAAAATAGTAAGTGCAGAAAAGGAAAAAAAAAGAAAGAAAGGCAGAAGGCTTTTCTCAGTGCTGAGTTGCTGCTGGATGTACTTGCACAAAGTGAAGTGGAAACTCTAAGCATAAAGACATGAAACACTGAGTTGTTCCCTCATATCACCATTTGGTCATTATGCCTCCTTCTTGTTGTAGGGATGAAGAAGCTTAATGCTTGTTCTCTATCTTAGTTTATAGTATGTAAAGCTTCTGTTGGATTATTTCACGTACCAAAGAAAGGCCATTTTAATAACTGTTTTGCTGGAATATTAAACCAAATTAATAGCTATTTCATAGCCTAAGCGCAGCGCACAGTTGCTGCCTTGCTTCAGCATTATCTTTGAATAATAAGCAATATTTGTAAAGAGGAAGAGCCTATGACTGAATCCAACTAATTTCAACACAAGTGAGCAAATGCATAACACTGTGGTTGATCAACAGAATGTGTATCTCTGCCAGCCCTTAAAGGAAGAAGCACAGTTGGGAAGACATGTGTATCTTCGATTCTGGGAATGTCACAAGTCATGGAAAGAAATGTACAAATATATCATTGTGCACAGGCTGCTACTGAAATGAGGAAATGCAGGCGGTTCATAGCATTGCAGAGAGGTTGCTAACACAGCTCACTGCATCTCATCCTATAGAGATAATGAATTTATTTATGCTGTCTGACTGTTTTATATTACATAAGCAATAATCAGGGATACAGTAGATAAAGAAAAATTGTAAAACGAGATAAATCTTTAGGATACACTTTAATAGCTGCAGCTCACATTGGTCCAAAGTCAGATAATTACGGGTCATGTGAAGATTTACTTGCTGAGCCTACTGGCAATCCTAATTCTACTGCCAATCAATCATCAGCTTCTTAGATAAAATCTGGCTTTGCTCCATGATTGCAAACCATCACAACATGATTGTTTCTAGATATTGTAGAGTGGTGAGCAGAAGTATTGTTTCCAAGTTTTCCAAGTGTGAAAGCTGAGTCAGTTTCTGGAAGCTGTAGCCAGATGGATAATGCTCACAGATGGAAGTTGATGTATGATTTTTCTTCTCTCCCACCGTGAAAGAGGTGTGTTTCTGAACCAGATGACTTTTGCTGTAGTATAGGATGGGGAAGCCTGTGGCCCTCCAGATGTTGATGGATGTCAACTCTACCCACCTCAAGCTAGCATAACCAATGGATAGAGATTATGGAGGTTGTCGTCCAGCACGTGTAGACTATGCTTTCCATCACTTCTGTTTCTTATTTGCGGTCCACTCTTTCCCAGAGAGATGTTCACAGCCCTGATCCATGCTTTAATAACTGCCAAGCTTTTTCCTGCTTGCATATAAATAAGTAATGTATACCACAGGTTTTAGTGTGTAAACAGACAGTTCTCTGATTTGAGTAAACACATTGATGATAGAAAGGAGAGCAGCAGTGTAATTTTGCTTCTTCCTTTGATGGAGGCAGAGCTTACAAAATACATTAAACTGTAGTGTGGTTTGTTAGTTTTGAGCTTGCTGTGTTGTGAAAATCTAACCACTGCTGTTTATAAACCATTGTTAAGTGTGGAAATTCTGGGAATTACTATATTGAGGAAGGCTAATGGAGATCCACGGGCCAAAAAATGCCCACCTTTGCTGGAAGTATTTCCATCAATGTTTTTGGTTTCCATTTGTCCTCCTATTATTAATAGTTAATAATTAATAATCCCGTGGTTCCCAAACTGTGTGCTGTGGCAGTCTGGAGCACTGTAGTGAACTCACTGGGCTGCTGCAGGCTATATTGCTACTTTATAAATGAAACTGTTAATAGGTTTGCTGTGGTGCACAATTTGGAGCTGCTAAGGGTGTCATGAACTGGAAAGTTTGGGAAACTTTGACTTAATCCATTGCTTTGCTGGGATTTTAGTCCAGGGGTTTCTTGTAGATCGTATATTACAGTACTTTTCTGCTGTGATAGCAAAATGCCAAACATTCTTCTCTGCAAATTCTTTTTTCTGAAAGAGAGGCAAAGGGGAAAAAAAGGGCTGTGCTTCTCTCAATCAATATTACTATTAAGATCCATGTCTAGCAGTACTGAGACCAAGTGAGTAACTGAATGAGCTGCCTCCTGGTGTCTTAAACACTTTGAAATAGTAAATGGACTTGTAAAAGGAGCCATTTGATATCTCCATTCTGCCTGGCATGACAAAAGGTTGCTTCTTTAGATGAACAATAGGAGCAAAATGGTATGCTATTTTGATAGGGACAGAAAGACAGGAGAAACACACACCTACCTTCATTTTCAGTTTGATTAGTGATTATTCATGAATTCACCCTCACAGGTGCCAACTGTGGCAGGTTGGACTGAATCTGCAGAGCTGTCTCAGATAACATAATGCAAATTAATTTTCCCATAAAATGATCTATGGCCCAATCCCTAATATAGCTAAATTGAAATACTTAGATTAAAACATTTCAAGAACTACAGAAGTCAGGAAGTAGGTCTACAGACTTTTTGTAGGGCAGCAAAATTACATTTGGTCCAACAATTTACTAACCACAGATATCAGCCATCAAACATAGTGGTCAAATTAAGTATGTCATCCCCACCAGGTATACCAGACCAGGAAATCACCTCCACAGGAAGACTAAAATTATGTTTATTGAAATTGGATATAATAACAGAATCTTGCAAGCCTGATTGTGCTACACTTCTTTCCCCTTCTTATACTCCAGTGAATTAGGGAGGTGTTTGCTGAGCCACTTCTGAACGTTATCTCATTGGTTTGGATTGTTTCGGCTCCTTTTGCCAAGGTAATGGTTCTTGCATATTTCTGTCAAGGTCATCTTCCTTATTCTTTACAAGGATTGATAAGGTGTACTGTCAAGTGAAATGATGATGATGATGATAATGATGATGATGATGCCCTTTTTTCTTCTTCAATTGTCTGGTGTACATGGAATGTTGCAAGTATACCAGACAGTTGAAGAAGAACAAAGGGCACTGGAAGAATATCTGAAGGACAGTGAAGAAGATGCACTAAAACTGGTACACCGTGAAGGCTTACTGAATACCAAAGAGCCCAAACTGGCCTACAAGAAAGACCAAATGAAGAAT